GAACATCTCCTGTTTCTAAACACAGCTGACGAAGGAACACAGTGTACTTCATTTACATAAATAAAATAATTATAATCCAAACGAACCAATTAGTAATAAACACAACTGTTTTCACTAACGCTGATCATTTCCCAGAATTCATAATCAGTCAGTCAATTTACCAGCTGAATGACTGACTCTTTGTTGCTCACAGACATTCACACACACACACACACACACACACACACACACACACACACACACACACACACACACACACACACACACACACACACACACACACACACACACACACACACACACACACACACACACACATTTCTTAAAACTTCCCCAGAGGTCTGTATCAGATCAGATCTAAAATGCCAATTACAGTAATGCCGCCCAACACTTTAATGTTTTTGTAGTCACCAGGGGAAAATCCAACACACACACACACACACACACACACACACACACACTCATTCAGACTCGAATAAAACCATCTCCACGTTTCCTCGGCTGTCTTTTGTCTTTTTAAAAAGTGCCAAACACACGGAGAGCCTGGAAAAAGCCTCCGTATATGGAAATGGATTTATGGGTCTGTGTATAAAACACTTTTACAAACTGCTTCCAGGACAGAGAAGAGTCGATAAATTATCTCGACTAATGAGGGTCGGGACATCTGAATAGTTAACAAGGTTTTTTAGCAAATTTATATTAATAGCAACATGTTTTAGATTTCCAGATTGTGGAAAAAATACCTTTCTTCCAATTTCTTCCTATTTTTAGTATGTATACATGAAATTCAAAAAGTTATTCAAGTGGTTTTAATCCACTGCTTTCTGGTCTCATGTGAAAGGTCATCTAAGGTCGTTGCAGGTGAGGACACACACACACACACACACACACACACACACACACACAGCTGGTGTTTCTCTAACCTCTGACCCCTCAGGCTCATCAATAACCAGGAGGCATGGAGAAGTGTGTGTGCTGTCTCATCCGTCTTCATTAGACCAGTGTGTGGGTGTGTGTGTGTGTGTGTGTGTGATACAGCAGCGTTGTCATGCACACACAGTTTAAGTGGATACACACACATAAGATTCCTTCATGTAAGGAAACATAAATTAAGAAGAGTAAAATGAAGCTTACATTTGGAAAATATCACTGATGTTATTAGTTTTATGGTTTTTGAGCCTTTTGTAAACTCACCATACTTCAAAGCACGCACGCACACACACACACACACACACACACACACACACACACAAAGATCAAGCACATATTTGACTGCTTTATCTCACTCTTTATCAGCCACTCAAACTCTCTCTCTGTTTGAAGAGAGCTCTACACACTGATATCAGATCGACTGAGTTCTTTATCTCACACACACAGGAGCCGGGTGATATGCAAACCAGACCACAACCAGGAAGTGATGCTGGTGTTAAAGGCTTCAGCGACATGTACAGGTGTGTGTGTGTGTGTGTGTGTGTGTGTGTGTTCACCTGCAACGACCTCAGATGACCTTTCACATGAGACCAGAAAGCAGTGGATTAAAACCATTTGTATAACTTTTTGAATTTCATTTATACATACTAAAAATTGGAAGAAAGGTATTTTTTCCACAATCTGGAAATCTAAAACATGTTGCTATTAATATACATTTGCTAAAAAACCTTGTTAACTATTTTTAAACATGACCTAAAAGAACGTGGTGTCTACATTTTGAATACAAATGCACCAATAACTCAGTTGTGCAAGGCTTAAACATTCAAAATGAAACATTTTAAAGTGTTGTTTTTAGTTGAAGTATGTGCAGTAGATCATGACAGTAACTGTGTAAATGGTTCAGAATATGCATTGACCCCATGTGTTGTTTGCACCCAGGCCCGACTTTAAACCCAATTTAATTTAAAGAGTCTTCTTCAGATGTCCCGACCCTCATTAGTCGAGATAATTTATCGACTCTTCTCTGTCCTGGAAGCAGTTTGTAAAAGTGTTTTATACACAGACCCATAAATCCATTTCCATATACGGAGGCTTTTTCCAGGCTCTCCGTGTGTTTGGCACTTTTTAAAAAGACAAAAGACAGCCGAGGAAACGTGGAGATGGTTTTATTCGAGTGTGTGTGTGTGTGTGTGTGTGTGTGTGTGTAAGATCTGCTTCTTCTCACACTTGCCAGACCTCAATGATTTGAGACACACCGCTGTCAGAGGAGTAATAATAAAGGGATAACACATCTTGTAATACTCCGAGTGTGTGTGTGTGTGTGTGGCGCCTATAATTTAATCTAAAAGATCTGCTAATTTACACACTCCAAGCATTAAAGTGGAGAACAACGCCATGAACTTTGATTTATTTTACTGCCAAATAATTTCCTTGACTTTAACTTTAAGAGCTTATAGTTTCAGACTTTGCTAAGTTGAGCAAACATTTTTCACTTTACTATAAAGGTATTCAGCATATGTTCAACATACTATATGATTTTGTAAAGTATGTCGACAAAATTGAAGAATATGTCGAAGAAATTGAAAAGTAGTCCACATTTTTTTTTTTTTCACATACCATACTATGTTGTTTTTCACACATTTTCGACACACTATACAATGTCGTATTTGGACGAGGAACATAACTATAAGAAAGCTTTCTGATAAGTTTGAATAATCAGAGCATGAACATTTTGCGATAAAGAGAATATGTAGAACAGGAGAGCAAGTACAAAAAGTTCAGAAAAAACCTTAAAAAAAAAACCCAGAGAAAAGGAAAGAGAGAGTGAGCTTTTTGTGAGGCAGCCCTAATCATTGCACGCACCACCGCTCCTCTAAAGACAGCTGGGAACACACACACACACACACACACACACACACACACACAGTCGGCAGAGGAACCCTGGAGCATGCAGAGAGTTTGTGTTGCTTCTGATTCGAGTCGCTACCCTCCAGTGAACAAGCACACACACACACACACACACACAACACAGACACACACAGAATACTGGTTAATCACGTCCTTCCCCACAGACACCTCTGCTGTCAGAGAGGTCAAGGGTCACCAAGTCGAGCGTCAGGCAGGGTTAACGAGAGAGAGAGACATTTGGATTATTGGTAATGGTATGACAATATTACCGTCTGTCATTTACCTGCTGGAGAAGAAACTTGGCGATGATCCAGTCGCTCCCATTGGTTCAAGGTAAGAGAGTACATACACTCAAGTACAAATAGCAATTAGCTTAGCATAAGTGAACCATTGAAACAATTAAACCAGCATATAAATGGCACATTTGGTACACAAAATGTACATCTCGTTTTATAGTGACTGTAGTGGCATCCAAGGTTTCCTTTTGCCACTATAGAGCGGGGTTGACGACACGCAATCCAGAGCAATAAGCAGCCGAAGGTTTTCAGTCAAAAAATGTAATTTATTAACAAAAAAGTATTGACTTAAATAGTCTCAAAATAACAAATCGAACTAAATATTTCGGCGATATACTTTCCTATATAAACTATACTTTGCAGTCCAATTTGCAACACTAATTTCTGTTTACAATTTGCGATCGAAAAACTGTTCCGCTCCGCGTCTCATCAGAGGCCTGTACTACGAAGCTGGATTTTCGCTTAGTCGGCTAAATTCAGGGAAATCTCGGGCTTTCCGGTCCTACGACGCTGGTTCTCTTTTTAGCAGGCTAGATCTCCATGGTAACTTATGCTGAGCGGCAAACCTGCTCCGGAGCAGGTTAGGTGGCAGGCTAAGAGATCAACTCAGTGAAAGCACCGCCTGCTGACCAATCAGAGCTCCGTGTGCGGAGTTTAAAGCGATCAAGTCATATTACAGGATAGAGGAAATACAGAAAAACTGCCGTTGCAGGAAAGACAGCCGGCAAAAATCAACTGACTGTGTGAACGTGAAAATTAATAGAATATCCCCTCCCATCTTCAGAGCAATCTGACTATTATAATATTAGCGTTAAGAAAGCTTACTTAAATATCTGCCACGACATAAGTAACCGGATCAGAGTAACATTAAGTACAGTCCGCGGCACTGTGAGTGCAGACGTCGATGTGTGCCATTATCATTCATATCATATCACATCATAATGTATCATATATTTCCTTATTTGAGTCAGCTTCTTGAGCCGTATCTGGCCGTGCAACACTCACAGTGTCACATACTGTATGCAGAAGTATTATTTTAAGCAACACATTAAGTTGATGAAACACTCGAGTCAAATGTAATTAAAGTCAGATCCACTCGTGTCTTGGACGGGGCAGTGATTTCATAAACCTGTTAATGTACGCATTCAAACACTTTTTCTTTTACCAGCTGTATTCACCTTGCAGGTGCAGCTATGTGGCTTTTATCCTGGATAAAGTGTTTAAGACATGGATGTTTAAAGTTTAACTTCTTCATATTTGACTAATATTAAAGTTCACTTTTCATTCAGGAAGTATGACGCTGCGCTGTCAGTACGCTTGTCCGTGTTTGAGATTGGTCGAATGCTCCAAATACCACCCCTTTCATGTGAACGCGCACCTAACTAGATAGGACACGGCTGGCTTGAGCGATCCACTTGATAACCGGCGTCGTAGTACAGTTTAGCGCCAGCGCGTATGTTTTGGCTTAGGCCAACCGGCTAACTCCAACATATCCAGGTTAAGTTGAACCAGCTTCGTAGTACAGGCCTCTGGTCTCAGAGCACCGCGGCTGTCCTCAATTACCTCACTTAAATAAACACCGGAAGGTACAAGGAAACAGATCATATTTACGATTTAAAATAAACAATAATTTCATCAAAAGATATTCACCATGGCAATATAAATCATTTTCCATCATTAATTCATTTATCAAATTATGAATCTAAATAATAACGTTGACTTCATTGTGGCTCTAACAGTGACAGTATGGGATTTAAAAGTTAAAATGGCTTCCTTGGCAAATCAAATTAAGTCTCCAAGCTAATGCTAACACGAACCTCTGCTATACAAGCGATTTAAACATGAAATAACAGTCTGGACAAAGTATTCATATTTGTTGCCGTTTTATTAGTATTTGACTTAAGTTTCATTCATAAGTGGTTTTAATACAACAGCGTATACAGTGCTTCTGTCTCAGTAAAGAGTTCTGCTTTTTACAAAATACAAAGTAAACGGCAACGCCTGCAGCGAGAGGAGTCTGGACAAAGAGCAAAGGTCATTTACTAATACAACTACAACTAGTGAGTTTGAATGGATATCTGCAAACCGTAAAGAATGAAATGCGACAACAAATACGTAATTTATATCGCAGAAAGTCTCCAGACTCCAAACTCTGCAGTGTTGGCGCTTCATTGGCAGGAAAATAACCCAAAATACAGCAAAGGCACATTCAATAACGACGGCCCGTTCCCTTTCTAACACCTAGAAGTGACACACAGCCAAGGATGGATGGAAAACACACACACACACACACGTGAACTCAAACACACACGACGCGTTGTCGCTCAGTAAATCAAACGGCAACAGATTGTAAGGAAGAGGAAGACTTAAATTCCCTTCTGACACACACACACTGTACGTTTGAATCCCTTTATAAAGCGCACTGACACACACACACACACACACACACACACATCGCTGTAGTTTCCAATGCTATTATTGCACCCAAGTTGAAGGAAAAACAAGCAACAAAAAGACCCATATAAGTTAATAAAAATAATCTAATGTAATATGTGCTGTGCTCCAACTAAACAAACCTACACACACACACACACTGCTTGGTTTACGGAAGACATGAAAGTGTGTGTGCTTGGCGTTAGTACAATGGTTCCTATACAACATTAGTCTATTTGTCAATTTTGGGGGGTGATAACCTCTCTTTAAGACCCAGTTATTTATACATTTAGAGTAGAAAAAACGCTCTGGCAACACCTGATCAAGTTTGACTGAAAGCTGAGGAATGGGTTGCCATGTTTGGACAACATCCCCTCTTTTAAACCCCCACTTTGTTTACAATCGTGAAGAAGAGGGAACCCAGGTCTGAGCATTGTCGCCCATTCAAGTGTTTGCAGGTTGTATTTAAAGAGGGGAAAGGGTTGCCATGTTGCGTTAATATCCCCCTTTATTAGACAACACTGACGGAACATTCTAGTTTTTTTATTTTGACAGACCTCACCTTGATCTCAGTGCTTTGCGGGCTGCTTCCTCTCTGATGTACATTCAATATGTTGTGCCACAGTGAGAAAAGAGCAACGTGGAAGACATGAAAGGAGAATATAAAGAGGGTGAGGACACACTGCTTACATTTTAGGAATTGGAAGCTTGTGGTACAAAGAAAAAACCTCTGAAAATGTGACTTCTTACAAAAAAAAAAAAGGCTACCAAGCTGCACACCTAGAAATATGTCAAATGCAACAAGTAGATTGAGAGTTTTAATAACTACTTTTCTCGCTAGTTTCAATAACCACATCGTTTCAATAACATATGCCACTTTAATGTTGACTTTTGTGGGAACAAGATCTAATATGATAAGTAAGTAATTTGGTAATATTCCTTGTTTTTTGACCACAAAGACCAATAAGATAACTAAAGACGTCTTTCCTTACTCGTCTCCAATCAATAGACTACTCAGTTTGGATTAAGGGCAGTAAGTAACCTATAACATGGTTAAGTTAGGGGTTGATAAAGTGAAACACAAGCTGTGAAAATACTTCTTGTATCCCCAGAAGTTGTGTCTGTTATCCAGGAAGAAGCGTGTCAAAGGAACCGCGACGACGTTGTTTGTTCAGTGGAGTTTGGCGAAGTTAAGGTGCATAGATCAGCAGACGGTTGCAAACAGAACGATGAAGGCAGGATGGTTGAAAACAGCCAATCAGGACGGTGGCTTCAGGCCTGCGGGCCAATCAGACGGCTCGCTTCAGGCCTGTTGCTGGGCGATGAGGTTACGCAGCTGTTTGATGATGGTGTCGATGAGTTTCTGTCGGTCTCGGTCCGTCTTCCTGAACTGAGCGAAGACGTTGTTCTTCCTGCTCGTCTCCCTCATCCTGGAGATGGAGAAAAAAAGATCAATTACAGAGAATAACAAACAAAGAATGGTGTGTTTTAGTATTTAACACTCTCTGAGATTGGATGCTGTAAGTATACCAATATGCAAACACACACACAAGTGCTAAATCGTACGAGCATGCTCAGTAGAGACACACACACCCTGCTACTGTCACCTGTTAAAAAAACAAAGAGTGTCACGAGACTGAGTGTGTGTGTGTGTGTGTGTGTGTGTGTGTGTGTGTGTGTGTGTGTGTGTGTGTGTGTGTGTGTGTTGTCGCAGAACGCTGCACTGTTATGGACCTCCAGGAAGTTCAGGGCCCAGCAGGGTGCTTCCTCTTGGGCACAGAGGACCAACGAGAAAACACTGACCCCATCGTACAAGTGTGTGTGTGTGTGTGTGTGTGTGTGTGTGTGTGTGTGTGTGTGTGTGTGTGTGTGTGTGTGTGTGTGTGTGTGTGTGTGTGTGTGTGTGTGTGTGTGTGTGTATCACTATCTTAGACTCTGATGTGGGTGTTGTTGAAGTGATATCATCAGGACAAGAGTTTATTTTGTATGTGTAATAAGGATGTGCGTGTGTTAACCCAGGTTAATCCTTCACTTTCTTGTATGTACACGCTTTAGTATCTGTAAACATGCCTTAATCACACACACACACACACACACACACACACACACACACACACACACACACACACACACACACACACACACACACACACACACACACACACACACACACACACACACACACACACACACACACACACACACACACACACACACACACACACACACACACACGACAATATGATACTCACGGCTTAAATAACCTGCCACAACATGATGAGAGGACAGATAGGAAACAGAGAGCAGTTGAGATGGAGGAAAGATGGATGGAGATCTCAAACTCAAATAAAGTTCAAAATGGCTGAATATGAATGTGTTCTTGTTCATATTGCTGATTAACTGACTAAACCCTTTCTAATGGATTCAAAGAAGGTACTGAGGAACAGAAGGACAGATGTGAACAGTAGATGTGTGTGTGTGTGTGTGTGTGTGTGTGTGTGTGTGTGTGTGTGTGTGTGTGTCTCACTTCTCCAGCAGGGTCAGAGCAGTGTGTGGATTCACTCTCAGATATTTACAGCTGGGTTTCCCGTAGTCAGCCAGGTAGGAGCTCCAGTCCCACTGAGTGAACAGCTCCAGCAACTAGAGAGAGAGAGAGAAGAGAGAGAGAGAGAGAGAGACAGAGACAGAGCATCGAGGACCGATGACAGAGCAACAAGAACCGAGACCAGATACGAGAGCGAGAGAGAGCGAGAGAGAGAGGAGAGAGAGAGAGAGAGAGAGAGAGAGGAGAGAGAGAGAGAGAGAGAGAGAGAGAGAGAGAGAGAGAGAGAGAGATTCATGTTGAGCAGTGAGAACATAAACACCGACACACACACACGCTGGGTAACATTCGGGTAACCAGTTTAAAAGCAGGACGATGTGAGCATCTGGAATAAACGCGGTAGGAAATGTTCAGTACTGGGAGAGGGTCTGGCAGGTTTGAAAGTGAACACGAGGAAACTGTGATGACATCATGTTGCTAAAGTCAAGAGATTGTCTTTAAGATTCCTACATTTAAAAGTATAAGCAGCCAAAATACTGCTTTTATTAATCTTCCTTCTACCTTCCTCTGACTAATTGTCAACACGGTTCAGCGCTCGGCTACTAAAATATATCTACTATCATTATTTCACGAGGAGATCTTAAACACTGGGACAGTTGGTAAAGTTATGAAACTATGATGAGGGATTCCTTAATTTAATGTATTAGTAAAAATACTGTGTCATTATTTTATGAAGTTGTCGACAAGATTCAGTGATCAGGATCTAAAATATATATGACGTGTTTCTTCCTTGGTTTAAAATGTATTCTTGAGTTAAATCTACCAGACTGCTATTATTATATATTTTGAATCTTTATTTTGTGTATGTTTGTATATACATATATATATATATATATATGGGACGGTCTCCCTGTGTCTAACACCATCAGAGATACTGATAATAAAGTTGACTTTGACTACTAACATTTCACTACTTCATTTGATGCAACTCCAGATGAAAAAGGATGTGAGAGATTTTAAACTGTTAAACTATCCATCGTTAGTAAGAGAGATTAAGGCCGTTTGATGATTGGCTAGTTTTTATGATTTGACCATTCAGGAAGTGAAAGTGTCTGTCATTATGTTGTTCTTCACTTTGCAAATAAAAGGTAAAAACTTCAAATTTGTTGGCTAGTTTTTTATTTCATTACTAGCTCAAATATCTAACATAGATTGAATTAAAAATGAGAAGATGGTGGACTAATCAGAGGTTGAACCTGATCAAAATGCAGTTAAATAACGATTTATCCCCCTAAAAAATGACAAAACCTTTTGCTAACCTTACATACGTCATTAGCATTATCCTAGCATTCATTTATGGCGCGTTTCCACTGCAGGGCCTAGCACGGCTTAGTACGGTATAGTTAGGCCTTGTTAGACCAGGCTCACTTTATGCTGCGCTTCCATTACAGTTTAGGAACTGGGGCAGTAACTATAGTAACGCAGTGTAGGCGGAGCCGTGACGTCATCTTCAATGACAACCACAGAAAAACAACATCAGCCGTTAGCTGTTAGCACTCAGAGCTCACAGCTCCTCATATCTGTTCAGAAACTAGACAAAAGTTAAACAAGTACAAACCACAGACTGCCTGTGTCATGGTGAATACAGTCGTTGATTTATTTATGTCTGCATAGGCCGTTGTTGTGAGTGTGGACGGTCGGAGCATATACTGCGTTAGCTTAGCCAATCTCCATTCAGAAAACACGCATTTTAAAAGGTTTTTCCCCTGCCGTCTGTCTGCAGACTTGACAAAGCATTAATTCATGGTTTTTACTAACCGGTATCAGTATGTTGTTACTTCGGCATCATTTTGAAACGTGTATTACAATTAAATCACGGTCAAATATGTCCATCTTGTTGTAGTTGTAGCCCCCTTGCCGTCACTAGTTTAGCATATTCAGCCTGGTTGTTGGCCCGGTAAGAACCACGATTTTGGAGAGCGAGAAAAACTGTGAAAAAGTACCCGTTAGCCGGAACTACCCCTGGTGGAAACGCAACACAAAACGGGCCGGGTTTGGCGCGTCACGCTTAAACCGTGCTGCAGTGGAAATGCGCCATTTGAGTAATTGTTAAATACTCTAAAACCAATTTCTCTATGTTTTCACACACAAGTTACTAAGTGAGTCATTTACAAAGAGCTGTCGCAGCACAATCCTGATGTTTGTGTGTTCGTCATAACAACACTCCTCTGCTTTCTAAGAAATGCACCGTATTGCTCAATTTTAGGACTTTCTTTTTTTTCATCGGACACAAAAACATTGAGGTAAACAAACGCCACAGAGCAAAGAAGAGAAGAAGAAGAAAGAATCCCACATCTCAAACTGTTGCATAACCTGCTGCTGCCCTGCTGAACTCTGTCTGACACACACACACACACACACACACACACACACACACACACACACACACACACACACACACACACACACACACACACACACACACACACACACACACACACACACACACACACACACACACACACACACACACACACACACACACACACACACACACACACACACACACACACACACACACACACACACACACACACACACACACACACACACACACACACACACACACACAACCTGTGCGCCTGCAGACGTACACACACTCTGTCTCTCTACCTCTGTCTGTTACACACACACACACACATATATATATTAGCGAGGAGCCCCAGTGAACTCTGGGTAACACCAAACACACACACAGATCCAGAGAGAGAAACCATATGTGAGCGAGGGATGAGAAGAGAGGAGGGAGAGCAGAACCACATGTGGGGGAGAAAATGAGAGAGAGAGGGGGGAGACACAGATGGAGAGGAAGGGATAACAGAGAGAGAGATGGATAGATAAGAGAGAGGGAACAGGAGAGGAATGATGAAGGACAAAACCTCCAGATTTGTTGTGAAACTTCGTTGTTATTATTTAGAAAAACTGCTGTGTTTTACGAACACTCCGAGATGCCTAACAGCGGGACATTTGATCAACAGGAAGTTCTATGTTCTCCACCTTTTGGGCATGAAAATGTGCCTCAAAATCTTTCATGTCAGCGTTTAAAAGACCGGCAACTTTCATGTATGCATGCATCTGCTTCACATCTTCTCTGTCCTGTTTGAGACGTTTGTACTGAAGTTGCCGTGGCACAGAAACAGAGGATAAGACCAACAGTAGCTCCACTATCCATCACTCTTTATGAGCTTGACTCCTAAAGTATTGAAACTACTGACACTAAGTCTTGTTTTGAGTGAGGGTACATACGAGTAGACTCTCTTTGGTGTATGCACTCGCTGTTTAAATCACAAGTTTCATCACAATACACTATTATAGCGATTGAGCTAATATCAAAATGGCTGCTATAATACAATTTCAAATTCCTTTCAATTCACTGTCCTCTGGTCAGTTTGAGACGATACCATACGCCCCCTTTAAGGCTTAAGGCCCTGACACACCAGGCCGTGCGTCAGCCTTTATTTTTAAATAAAGGCGTATCTTAACGATGGCTGATCACTGATTGGATACAACAAACCAGATGAACCACTATACATTTTGTAAGGGCGGAACTCTCACATCTAGATCCTTAATCTGGTTCAAAGATTCATATATTTGCAGTTTTTTAAGTAAATACACTTTCCCTTTCTGTTGATAAAGCTATGAAACACATGTGGAGGCAATACTTAGTTACTGGATATATTCATTTCAGTAAATGAGAAAAGAAAGTGCCAGAATGTCCCCCAAATTCTGTATTATTCCAGCAAATAAAACAGCTTTTAGTCGTGTTAGAGCTGAGGGACTACATTCCTAAAGAGTCCAGAGGTCATCATCACAGCTTTCCAGGTAAACAGGAAGTGACCACAGAGTTATTAAAACTACTGCTTCCTCTGATTCTGAGAGACGACAAGACGAATGTTGGATTTGAATTTCCTGAACTCTCCCTTTCCTCCCTGCACTTCTGTATTCACCTCTCCCTCTCCTTTGTCCCCGGCTTCACCCTCTAATCTCCCCAAATAAACACACAAACACACGCCTGCTGCATGCAAACAGGTACACACACACACACACATCAGGTCGTTACATAACGTGCAAACATCATCAGGCAAGGGAACGAGAAAACATCTTTGTCAGCTAATTAGGTTCAGATATATGAGAAAGTGTGTGTGTGTGTGTGTGTGTGTGTGTGTGTGTGTGTGTGTGTGGTAAGTACAAGGTGAAGGCATGTCAGATACAGATAGATACTGTAGCCGTCAGAGTTAGAGGAAGTAACCATGAGAATGCATGCTGACACACACACACACACTCACAAGTAAGTACGGAGTGTGTGTGTGTGTGTGTGTGTGTGTGTGTGTGTGTGTGTGTGAGGTCATGTCGAGGTGAGAGGGGGGAGCGAGACGGAGAGAGAAGTTCAGCGAGAGGTGAGGAGAGAGAGTGTGTGTCGGGTGAATCGGGGGTCAGGTGTGTGTGTGTGTGTTTTCCTCCATTTTCATCAGTCTTATCTGCCTCCCCCCCTCCTCCCCCCTTCTTGTTGCACTTTTCCTCCAAACTTACCGACTGACCTCAAGTTCACCCACGACTCCCCCCTTATCTCCCTCCCCCTCGTCTCCTCTCCTTATCTTGTTATCTTCTCCTCTTTTCACTTCCTCCCTACTTTCTCTCAAACTTCTTTCCAGTCAATCAAACTCTCCTCTTTCTGTTCCCCTCTCTAATGACTCTCCCCCTCCCCTCACCTCTCTCTCTCTCTCATCTTCATCTAAAATACCTCACCTGCTCTTCCTCTTCCTCCTCATCCTCTCCTTCTCATCTTCGCCCCGTCTCTTTTCTCTCCTCACCCCTTTTTACTTTATTCTGTCCATCACCCTTTCTCCATTTCTCCATCCCTCCTTTCCCTTTGCTCCTCATACCTCCTCCTCTCCTTCCTAGTTTATCTCCTCCTCGTAACCTTTCCTTCTCTCAACTTCTTCCATCACTTACCTCCTTCCTCCTTCCTCTAACTTTTGTATCCCTCCTTTTACCTCCTCTCCCTTTCTCTCACTTTTACTACTTTGATTAGCTCCTT